GCCCCCGCGAAACACGCAACGCCACCCAGAAAGAAACAGAGCAACGCAACATCCTGCAGACCCTAAACCCTAACTCCTAAACCTAAACCCTGAACCCTAAACCCTAAATCCTAAACCCTGAACCCTAAACCCTAAACATCCCTAAACCCTTCCTGAGCCCCCCTGAAAGCAACCCGCGGCACGGGCCTTGGCCGTAGCAAACGACGCCGGCCAAGGCTTTGAGCCAGACGTCAGCAAGGGTATATACATCTGAGGGGAATTTAGGGAGTTTTAAGCGGGATATTGTTTAGGGTTTCGGGTTTTAGGGTATTTTAGGGTATTTTCCGGAGTTTAGGGTTTAGGGTATGGCGGCTCTCCAGGGCATGAGTTCAGAGTTGCCACCGTCAAGGAGATCGTGGGAAACAGCAGCCGAAGCCCCAAAACCACTTAAGGCATGTTCCCTCATTCAGGGCTCTAGAGGGCTCTCTGGGAACTCTGAAGCCCATCCTGCTGACTGTCTCTCTCTCTCTCTCTCTCTCTCTCTCAGGCAGCTCCACCTGCTGACTCGGGTTCGTTCTTTCCGAAAGGAAACCAATTTTCTCGCCACAAGTCCAGCACTCGCGCACACCGGTTTAGGGTTTGGGTTTAAGGCTTGGGATGCTCCCCCTTATACTAACAGTCCTTAATAGGGGATTGTAATAGGGGGTACTATAATCCCCAGTACGGACTGTTAGAACATCCTATGTGTAGGGTTTAGAGAGGCAGCAGGACTGACGGCCGATCTTGTGGTAGTTGCAAGGGCGTAGAACTGGCAGAGTTGGAGGCGCAGCCACGTACCTCCATATCAACTGCGACGATGCTCAGATCGCTCCTTGTTCTCTCTCTTCGGCGAAGCATGTGCCCATGCGCACTGTTGCAGACGCTCTCCGCGTGCGATTGCCATGTGGGGAGCTTCCACGATTTGCTGTGACAGGCTGCAGTCTTTGCTGCCTGGCAGAATTAGTGACCTTCGACCTCTGGCGAGTCCAGGGTTAGCGGTTAAGGGGCCGCTAAAGCCATACCCTGACCAAGAACTTGACGCTCTGAAACCGGGCGACAAAGGCAACTGCTCACATGAGTTCAGGGACCAACAGTGGCGGAGGTTCATGGGTACTCATACGTAGGTAGACTAGAGTCAGAACCGTACTTGGAGTACTTGGAACATCTTACAAACATACTTCTAAGTATCCACGAACCTTCAACTGGCTCGTTCTGAGTAGGGAAGGAGGGCATGAGGTACCCTATATAATCCTCTTTAAAGGGCATCTGAAGAACCCTAATTCCCTGATTCCCTACCAAGAACTCGGGGGTCAGGTACAGTATGGTGTGCACCTTCCACTCCCTGACTGCCTGGCAGGCTCGAAGATCCTGGCTCGTGCGGCCAGGTGAGAATTTTATTCTCCAGGAAAAGCCGTCAATCCCTAAATACCCCCTGGTGCTTAGTAGGGAATGAAGGAAGGAGGGCTCTCTACATATGTATATATATATATATATACATACCCTTTGCGGGATTACATACGGCCCTCATTCCCTCATTCCCTACTACGAACCAGCCAGAATATCCCAAGGCCCTTGCCAGCACCATGTCAAAATTTCCCTGGCCCAACCATATAGGCCCTGACCCCAAACAAGCCCCCCGGGCAAGATCCCGAGACTTTGCGGCCAAGCCTAGCAACTAGAGCCCACAGAGCCCAATACCCCTTAATTAAGGAATATACCTTACATCATAAAGGGATCCTTAATATGTTTTAAGGGATATTCCTTGTTTAAGGGGTATTGGGCTCTTTGGGAGGTTGTGAAACACCAGATCAGGATCCCGAGGACCTGGCAGAGCAGGGCTCATTACTGTACCCCCCCCCCCCCCAAAAAAAAAAAAAAAACAAAAAAGCAAGTGTCCCTTAAGTCACTCTCACGTATATGCGTGTATACCTATGTATACGTATATATACATATGTATATATATATATATATATATATACATCACCTTTCAGGTCTACAAGCTTGCTGGTAGGTACGGTTTAGGTCTTGTTTGCAGGTTGGGGGGTCGAGGTTTGGTTGCGCAGCTGCACGAAGCGAGTTGCAGGGTATAGGGGCACAGCAGCGTGCATTCGTGGACTCGCAGTTCGGCATGTTTGGGATAACGGATGACTGGCTGCAGTTGCGATTCTCAAAGATATCTATACCCCTTAAGAAAATATACCGAACATCCCCACCCTCTCTGGGTAGAGATACTCTGGGGTTGGGCACTCCAGGGAGATTCTGGGGTTGGCAGGACACTCGGGTTGGGCACTCGGATACTTTGGGGTTGTGCACTCCAGGGATAGTCTGACACTCCAGGGAACACACTCTGAGATTGGGCACTGTAACTGTAGAGGGACAGTCTGGCATTGGGCATTCCAGGGACAGTCTGGGGTTGGGCACCCCGGGGATGAGCGAGGAGTAGACCGGGCAGCTGAGCTTAAAATCTAACAACCCTAAACCCTAAACCCTAAACCTTAAACCCTAAACCCCACACCGAGGGTGGGGAATATGAAGGATCCCCATACAACTGAAGGCATCTTCTTTGTCTTGGGATATTGGGCCCTTTGGATTTCTACCGACCCCGCTGTCACAACTTCAGGTTACGAAAGCTGTCGCGATGCCACGTGTGTGCTGCTTTGCGAAGATGAACACGCGGCAACCTACATCTACCTAACCTCTTGGGTCTTGATGTCGTCCCCTCCCCCCTCCCCCGCAACCCCTCTCCCCCCACACCCCCCCTCCCCTCCCCCCCCCCTCCCCCCCCCCTCCCCCCCCCCCCCCCTCCCCCCCCCCCCCCCCTCCCCCCCCCCCCCCTCCCCCCCCCCCCCCCCCCCCCCCCCCCCCCTCCCCCCCCCCCCCCCCCCTCCCCCCCCCCCCCCCCTCCTCCCCCCCCCTCCCCCCCCCCCCCCCCTCGCCACCCACCCCCCCCCTCCCCCCCCCTCCCCCCCCCCCCTCCCCCCCCCCCTCCCCCCCCCTCCCCCCCCCCTCCCCCCCCCCCCCCTCCCACCCCCCCCCCCCCTGTGTCCCCTCTTCATCGCGGACTCACCAGACACCCCTAACCCAAAGACCCCTTCCATAAGGACTTTCGGGTTTAGGGTTTAGGGTATTCCCTAAATCAGATCTGTATACGTATAATTTAAGGTATATTCCGTAGATCTAATTAAAGGGTGCTGGGCTATCCTGGAAACAATTCCGAAATCCTGACTATCCGGGCAAACGGGTGCAACGTGAAGTCAGGTTAAGGATTCCAGTAAATGTAGTTCAAGGTACGAACTCCTTAATTTAATGAAGCGGCAGTAGCTCTCTGGGCAAAACTGCTTTTCGTGGCTTCTTGCCAGACGCCAGGCACTTATATTAAACAAAAAAACCCTAAACCGCACACATGGGTTTACGATCCTTTTTTGTTTCATGACCTTCCGCCGGTTTGGGAGCTAAGAAGTGGGATTCCAGCCGTGACACTAGAGCCTGGCAGCGGTTTGAGGGTTCTCAAGGGGTTAAGCCCTAAACCCTAAACCCTGTACCCTATAAACCCTATAAACCCTAAACACTATAAACCCTATAAACCCTAAACCCTATAAACCCTAAACCCTAAACCCTAAATGGGGGGTAAAGGGCCTCTTCGCCCATCTTGGGATGACATGCTGGAAAGGTTCAGGGGGTTCATGGTTGGGATAATATTCAGAATTTACAATATAATTCCTTATTGGGTTCAAGTACCTTTAAAAATGTAATATGGTACCCAACTATGATAATTTCGGGTTCAGGGATAAGCTGCTGCAGCTGTCGGTAAGCGGAATCCGCATTCAAAGGTCCCTGCGCTCGTTGCCACAGTTGCTCAGCAGGACCCCCTGATCCTGACCCTGCTGCACCACGTGCCCTAAACCCTAAACCCTAAACCCTAAACCCTGAACCCTGAACCCTGAACCCTGAACCCTGAACCCTGAACCCTGAACCCCAGACCGCACCGGTTGGTGCGTTTCTGATTTCTGGGCAAGCCTGAAGAAAGACTGCATTGTGATGCACACGGCTGCTCAGGCATGGAGGGTCAAGGGAAGCAACCAAAATGGCCTTCTCTGCATGGTGCAGTGTGCATCTGTGTCAATTGCGGCATCCCATCTCACCTGATAGAAGGGTTGCTGCACAAGTGAAGAATGGTCCTAACGCTCCAAAGACTTGCGCTTTAAGGTCAGCCCTGTACGTTAGACTCTGAAAAGCTTAAGCCTTCTTGTGTCCCTTTCAAACAGCCCAAAGCCCCGGGTTTAGTGTTTCAGCTAAACCGTAGACCCTTTTAGAACCCGGAATTCCTAAACCCTAAACCCTATAAATGCTTCATAGGAGGGACCATCTTCATCTGATTTTGCAGATACCTCGGGGACGAAGCTCAGTTCAACTTCTTGTTTGTTTTTGCCGGAGCTTCCTTTCCAACTCCTGGAAAGGACATGAAACCATCAAACTCAACTCGGTCTTTCCATTGGAGAAAGCATCAGGCTATATATATATATATAGATATACATATACATATACATATATATATATATATATGTAAACGGATCAATGCAAGCAAGGGGAACGGAGTTCTGTCGAAGTTTCGTCATCCGTTCCTGGAGTACGTTGTTCCCCTTTGCTTGCTCATGTGTCGCTCCTACTTGGCTCTAACCACTGAACATCATACCCCATGATCGATAATGCAGGATTCTAGGTTGGCCCCTTGTCCAGAACATGATCCTCTTAAACCCAATAAGGGGTGAACTAAAAAATATTCCAGGGGCCTCCCTCGAATTCAAAAATTCCTTTGAACATCGAGCTTCTGCCTGCCCTTTGGGTGCAGAAACCGCCAGCCTGAATAAGGCTGGCAAATAAACACATCCTAGCTACGGCGGGGTCCACTGCCCGGCAACCTCGACACCTATACTGAACTTGGAACCCTAAACCCTAAACCCTAAACCCTAAACCCTAAACCCCTACACAGGCATCGTGGTGTGGAAGTGGGCTCGGCATGCAGGGCACGAGCTTGCGGCTTCTGCCAGCGACAAGGACCAAGCCTGGATACAAGCATCCTCAGCTAGCGGTTTAGGGTATAGGGTATAGGGTGTAGGGTTTAGGGTTTAGGGTTTAGTTGCTAAGGCTCCCTATCTGAACACAGGTATATTCAAACCCTAAACCCTACACCCTACCTTAATTGAGGGTTTAGGGTTGCCGGTTGTCTCCGAGATTCGAACATCGGAAAGCACGCAGAACTAGAACAGGCTTTAGGGTTCAGGGTTGAGCCATGCTGCTTGAGTACTCTAAGCCCTACAAACCTGAAATGCCACTGAAAGCAAACCAAGTTGCATGAAATACGTGGCCACAGGGAAGGATTGCAACCTGGCTAGTGTCCTCGAAGTCGTCCAAGCAGCACAGGCAAGTCTTGACTAATACCGGAGTAGTGCACCTGAACTGGGGTGGATTTGGCGGCCAAGGCTGTATGGGGTGGATTTGGGGGCCAAGGCTGTATGGGGTGGATTTGACGGGGGCCCTATAAGGAGTTTAGGCCGCAAACGAAATTCAAAACATTGTCGCAAACCCCCCCCTGAATTGCGCTTGCCAAGGCAGACATACACATACACCCCATCTATCCAGTTGAACCACACTTCTCACACGACGAAAATGCTTATCCTAAACCCTAAACCCCAAACCCTAAACCCCAAACCCAAAACCCTAAACCTTATAAACCCCAAACCCCAAACCCTAATCCCTAAACCCTAAACCCTACACCGGAATCACAGCCTAGGCACACCCAGGGCGCAGGTGACGCGGAGGCCCACTCGACGGGAGGACCTCTCTGCCTTGGGGACCAAATAGGGTTTAGGGTTTAGGGTCTATACTACAGTAATCCCTATTAAGGGATATGGACCCTAAAATTGGGGTCAGATACCCAGAGAGCCCAATACCTGTTAATTGAGGAAAATACCTTAAACCATACTAAGGATCCCCTTATCAATTAAGGTATATTACTTAGCTAAGGAGGTTTGGGCTCTCTGCGTATACCCAAAATAACCATAATCCCTATTAAGGGCCTACAATTGGGGTCAGATGCCCCATACTACTATAATCCCTACTAAGGTAGTATGAACCATAAACCCTTATATACCCTCTACTACTAGAATCCCTGTTAAGGTCTATGAACCCTTATATACCCTATACTACTATAACCCCTACAGTATCAAGGTATATGAGCCAGAAACCCTTTTAGGCTTCATTTGTTCCCCGCCAAGGTGCGCGAAGTGGCTGAAGAACTCCAGGCGAGATGTCTCCAACTTGCCGAAAAGCTCAGATGCCCAAATACGGCGCACCACCTTCCTGAGTCTTGTGCGGTTTAGGGTTTGTAGGGTTTAGGTTTTTATAGGGTTTAGGGTTTAGGGTTTGGGGTTTAGGGCTGAGGGTTTAGGGCTTTTCCGCTCAACAAGATGACATAGCTTATTGACTTTGTCGGTTTCGGTTGGAAAAAAATGTTGGCAGCAATCTCTCAGCACGAGCAAGCATCTGAGCTGCAGATTGCGCAGGCTCAGCCCAATCAGTCACTTCCACCTCCCGATGCTCGTCATAGTTGTCAATCGCGATGCATGCAGCCCCCGAGAATGCTGTTATCGCCACTGGGTAAATCAGCACGACCATCCAACGCGACTGCACATTCGCCGAGTGCATCTCTGGATGGAAAGCTACAGCTGTAGCCAGGACAGCCAAGAAAATGCCGGAGAGGAGGAGGAGGAAAACCAGCAACTTTTTGCCTTGGTAGCCCAATAACCATTCCCAAATCAGGGCACCCCTTTTTGGAACCCACCCCATACCCCAACAGACAAGGGTCAAGGGTACCACTGGGTTACCAAGTTGCTCAGCGTCATTCCTCTGCAGCACAGCAGATGACGAACCATGGCCATCATGGCGAGCCCCACCACGCACGGCGAGAACCCCTTGATTTAATGGCAGTGCCGGACAGGTGCGTACCCCAAAGAGCCCTTTAATTACAAGGACTATACACCTTATATTTTATAGGGATGCCTTGTTTAATCCAAGGAAATTAACCTCACTCAAGGGGTTTGGGGCTCTCTGGGTAGAAACAGGCAGATTTTCTACAACAAAACTACTATTTCCTTAAGAACCCTCCCCAACTGTGTCTAAAGTACTCTTCCTTAGAAGGACAATATGGGCATCACTATCTGTATGCTGTTTCGCGGAGTTCTTCATTAAGCGAACTTAAGTTTTCTACAACAAAAAAAGGAAATGAGATACTTATGTGATGCATTGACACAGCTGCCATCTTGAGGCCGGCAAAGGGTAATGCAGGTAGTTTGCGGGACATGATCCCCTAAACCTTCTAAACCCAAAACTCAAACCTTCGTGATGCTCGGGGACTGAGGTGTGCCTAAGCCTTTTGACCACATCTTATTGCTTCTTGTTCGGGAATACCCCAAAAAACCCTTGAAGGGTTCTATCTATAAGAAGATGAGACTTTTGTTCCCTACTACGAACGAAGTAGTACAGTATACAAACAGGCCTGCCAGCGATGATGCGAAGCTACTGTGGTTGGCGAGGTCTGCAGACTTCCCCTAAGGGTCCATGTACCTAAATAGAGAATACTTGGGCCTTAAAGTACTTCCTATATAAGGGCCTTGGGGCCTAAGTATATACTAATAAGGTACATGGACCCTTAGGGTTCGGCAGGACTACGTATCCTCGCCAGTGCTGCGACGCAACAGTCAACAACTAACCTCAGAGGGATCCAAAGCTGATTCTGCAGCTGGCACCTAAACCCTAAACCCTACATGCTGCTTAGGCCGTGATTTCAACCCTGAAAGGCTTTTTTTTTGGGATGGACTTCTAGGACCTCTGCGAACCCCCAGAGGGACCAAAAGAAACCGAGCACCGTGCACCAATGAAACTTGTTGAACAGCACCAGAACAATGTGCCCCAAAACCCTAAGCTTGTTCATTGTTGGGGTAATATTAAAATTTGAAATTTATATTCCTTATTGGGTTTAAGTACCCTTAAAAATGTAAAATGTTACCCAACTATGACAAGGTAAAGCTGGGAATGCGAAAGCACCAGATATGGACCTTTGAGTGAGGGGCTTAGCGTTTAGGGTAACTTGAGGATCCCCTATGGGCTTGAACTTCTCTTGAAGGCTTCATTCCAAAGCAACCACTCGGGTGTAGGCTTTAGGGTTTAGGCTGCAGTGGCCTGGTAGTTGAGTCATATGCCGTCAGGGAGATGCCGTCCAACCATGTCACTCGGAGGACGAAAGGCCGGACCTGCCAAAGAGCCCCAGAGACTTAGGGCTTCCCTAAGGAAGGGATAATGGAATCCGAAACCTCCCAAGTACCTACGAGAAAGGTTGGCAGAGTCCCTACGAACCATTAGTCAGTTGCTTGGAGGCATAAAGCCAGACCCCTGGGAGGATCCAAAAAGTAGATCCCTGTAAGGGTTCCTCAGAATGACCCAACACTAGTGTAGGGAACTATTTGCAGGCTCTACGTTTTGGATTCTCCCAGGGGTCTTGGAAAAACTTTCCTGTTGCTTCATGTGCTAGGAACCCGATGGTCCTGATCTATTGGCCCGAACCCTACTCCTATAAGCAATCAACGGTATGGTCCTTTTGAACCCGGAGCTGATTCCAATATCAAGGGGCTAAGGATGGACCGACATAAGGGACCTTAGGCGGCTACTTTGGTATATATTGGGATTATCTAGGGCTTTGGGGTCCAGGGTTTAGGAGGGCTACTTAGGCATATAGGGACCATATAAGGTAACTTATATGTATATATGCATACAGGGGCCAGGGGTTATACACGGGAAAAAAAGGGTCCGCTCCAGGTAAAACCCTATGACCTTAAAACCTTCTAGGAATTAAACTGGCTAACCCTAAACCATGGGCCACATGCAATCTGCGTGGCGAAGGGCTGATGGTTGCGAGCTCTGAGGAGAAGTAGTACAGGATGCAGAGTTCACTGTTCACTGCTTAGCTAATGCTATGGGCACAGGATGAAGCATGAGGGCCTAGGGCTGTTAGGCTTCAGGGTTGGGGTCTCGGGGGGTTGAGGGTTAGGATGCAGTGTTTGGGGGTTTCACGTTTCTTGTTGGGCTCTATAACGGTTTTGGGGCAGAGTGCATGGAACATTGAACCTTGCCAGTCTTGCTTTGCGTCTCCAGTTGTCTAGCAAAAGCAGGTGCTGCGATGCTTGCAAAAAAAGCATACAATTTTTGCACTAAACCCTAAACCCTAAACCCTAAACCCTAAACCCTAAACCCTAAATCCTAAACCCTAAACCCTAAACCCTAAACCCTAAACCCTAAACCCTAAACCGCATCCTTCACCCTTCTTGTTTCAGGGCTCCTGCGGTATCCTGTCCTACACTAACTCTAGGGTTTGGGGGTTTTGTAGAAATCCTGTAATGGCAGCATAGGAATTACTTTTTTGTTCGGAGGGGTTCTTAAGCAGATGGCAGAGCGTGGGGCCTAAGGGGCGTCGAATCTTCAGGAAAGTCTCCGGCCCATCTGCTCTCTGGCGCCAGCTACGGCCAAAGTGCTCATCTCACAGTGGTGACTTCAGACCGTGCTTCAGCAAAGCCCTTTCCCTAAGGATCTAGGGTCTCTTGTTTTAGGGTTTTTTGGGGTTAGGCTCTTGATAGAACCTGTTTTGCAGGAGAGGCCCAAACTGAGCAATCCTCCTGGGAGCAGCAGCTCCCTAAACCCTGAACCCTAAACCCTAAACCCTGAACCCTAAACCCGAAACCCTAAACCCTGAAGCCTAAACTCCAAACCCCAAACCTTTTTGACCCGAAAACCACCTAGAAGTTGCCTGCATCGCCAAGAGTTCGGCCTGAGGACTGCGGTGTCATCATCCTCAGCTCCTCGTTCAGGGTTTAGGGTTTAGGGCTACGGGTTTACGGTTTAGGGTTTAGGGTTAAGGTTGAGAAAGCTCTGGTTGACGCGAAGAGGCTTGGGAGTTTTTTTCGGGCCTCAGGAAATTCGACCCGTTGAAAAACCCACCTAGCCCTCAATCGTCTTGCTTTCTTTCTTCCCATCCGATGAATTCCCACACCTTTGCACGCGGACGATCTCCTTATAAAGAAGGCCGGGAATCTTAAGTAAGAGGATCCGTGTAGAGTACTAGAAACAGGGTTGAAGGTCCCCCAAAGGGCCCAACACCCTTTAACTGAAACATCTGCTTGAAATCATATTGCAGATCCCCATAGAATGTAAGGTACATTCCATAAACAAAGGGGTGTATATATATATATATACATATATGTATTGAGAGCTCTCTGGATCGGAGGTGGAGAGGGGCTACCCCCATAACAGGTTCCTCGTCTCAAGCCATGAGGCTTTCTTGCACTTTTTTTGTGGGGGGGGGGGGGGGGTGGTGGGTGGGGCTCTTGGGACGGAACCAAGAACCTTACATCATATTAGGGATCCCCATAGGTAGTCTAAGCTTGGAACCCTGGTGGGGATCGAAAGCCTGGGTGGGCGCACTATTTTCAAGTACGGAACGTGCACGGGATCTACAGGCGAGAGCGCGATTTGGCGCCCTCCGCGGGTTTAGGGTTTAGGGTCCGGGGCACCTCGGATCTCCGCGTATGACCACACCTAGGCGAGAGCACGCGCGAGCGCGCGCGCGCGCCCGCGCGCGCGCCCGCGTGCCTCCAGCAATACTGACACACCATATGGTTCCGGCCCCTTAAACATTAGCCTCCGTGCAGGCCTAAGGGCAGGCTAGGAATACAAAAAGGTTGTCCTTGTTGGTTTATAGGGGTTTATAAGGGAACCTAAACCCCCAAAAAGGGAATAAGGGCCTACTGGCCTACTCTGCGTCCTAGATATGGGAACCCCCCAAAGGGAACACAATTTACGGAAACTACCAAGACGCTCGATCACAAAAACCTGCATTCTCACACTTCACGCCTTGGGTCTCCCAAACAGGGTTTTAGGGTTTAGGGTTTAGGGCCTATAACAGTTGGCCTAACAGCCCGCAACAGACCCGAGCTAAGGGTTTAGGCTACTTGGAGGTTCATGGGTACTTATATATAACCCTGACTATAACTCTACTTAAGGCCGCCTAAGTCCCTCTGAGTAGGTTGTAAGTAGACTTATAACTTGTAACTTAGAACTGTGGCTATAAGTACCCATGAACCTACAAGTAGGGTTTAGGGTTCAGACCTTGCACGCCTGACATCCTCGACCCTAAGCCCAAAGCCTAAACCCGCAGCAGGAATGCCACCTGGATCCTGCACCCGATAAGCCAAACCCTAAGACCCAAATCCTCCCACAAGCAGCTCTGAACCGTACCCAAAGGCTCCAATGTAGTTCCTTTTTGGGTTAGTTATAGGGAATACTAGTATACTACCCCGAAAAAGTACTACATAGGAGCCTTTGGGTACGACCTAAAACTCTCCACCAGAAGCCGGACGCCCTGAAACCCAACTCCTCCACCTGAAAACACCCAAGCCAAATGATCTGCAGAAACTGAGCCAAAGGCATCTCTTGGCGGTTCCTGAAACCCTCAACCCTAAACCCTGAACTTGGGGTTTAGGGTTTACGGTTTAGGGTTTAGGGTTTAACCCCGAAACTCCAAACACTGTGGGGAATTGACTCAATGGAACTGTCGAGCTTGCTCAGGATGGTTTCCGGTTCAGGGGCCCTTCAACCAAGCTTGCTCAGCTCTGAACACTCAACCCCAAGGCTTACAGAAGCCAGACTACAAACCAGACATCCCCTCCCCCCCACTTCACGAGGATTGGATTCGATGGTTTACGCTAAACCCGAAACCCGAAACCCTAACGTCCATACTCCCAGCGAAGTTGAAGGACTTCGGGCTGCACGACATACCACTGCCCGCCAGATGTTTTGTGTTGTAAGCTTTCTAGGTTGGCCCTTATACTAACAG